GAGTTTTATGGTTAATCTCGTTAATTAATCAACCATTTCACGTCATTCGCAATCAGTATATCACATTATCGAAGCGTAATATTAATCCGAAGTATCGTGATATTCCAGCAATACATAGTAACACTACTTTTACATTGAATAAGCTTGATTGCGACCGCTCGCTCAGAATTTTGTTAGATCGATGCACCTAAGAATCATATTTTTAGAGACACCGCGACCAAGGCTTAATAGTTGTGTATTCATGCAACGTGGAAAATATACGTTTTGCTTTTTGTTACGCTTGCATTTTCTCTCGGCGTAACACACTCTCCACGAGTTGAGATTACTATATTCACCCCCCAAGTGTGGTCAATAGAGGGATTTATTAGATGTTGAAATGATTACACATTGAAGGCATATGACAACAAGTTTGGATAATTGCTATAATTTTTTTATTTGTAATAGCTTTGTCTGTCAACAGAAATATTTCCGGAATTTCATAAAAATCGGGTAAGGAGTATTATTTCACTTCTTATATCCTCCCTGAGGAATTCTGATATCTATTCCATATTGAAAACATTCGGAGAAAGTCTAGAATAAGAATTCCGTCTTCATTAAAAATGTATACCGAGATTTTGCCCGGTCAAGTGCAAAAAAACGACGCCGAATGTATAATGAATGTGTCGAGTGTATCGATATCACACAAATTTTCAAATAGCGTGTCCGACGATGCAAAGGATGTGTAAGATATTGTATAACAAGATGTTTGAGCAACTAGAACTTAGCCCAAAAATTGTCTAGGTTTGCTAATGGAGTTTAAAAAAGTTGTTGTTTGAAAAGGAAAGATTATAGTATTAGTATTTTTGACAGCTACTCAGCATAAAAATCTTCTTTGACTATTCAGCCTATGTTCGGCCAAATTTCAATGCTCAATAGACAATTCTGTGCAAAAGAGATACTAGACCAAATAGATCTCAGCTTTATACAGTTATATAATCCTAACATGTTAGTGTTCAGTGCTTAGATTAACTGCGAATTATTGATCCCGGTCTGGCCGCGCAAATATCGAATTGTTAACTATGTGCTAATATTTGATTCATTTACAAAATAACATGTAGCAATGTGCAATAATTATGAATTTTTGACATTTTCTTACTTATTACACTAATAAATTTACCGTACAGTTTCCCACGATTGCATTTCATCAAGTTTGTGTTTTGAACGATCGTTCACATACGTTGAGCTCCATTATTTGCTAAACGTGTATTGGCGTAAAAGTTCTAACACCTCCTTATTTAAAACCAATCATTAGATGAACCTCTATTGAGTTCAGATTCTTGAATGGAAATCATATGGCATTGTCAATATAATGAGATAGAACGAACATATATTTTACGCCATTTTCGAACAATCCGAAATCAATACGTGTTATTGATTTCGTGAAATAGGCTCAACAAGAGATAATAGAATATAAATGATATTCACCTATTGGAAAAGTCATATTCAAATACATCAATCGAAGATTAGTTTGTTACAAGGTAAATACCTCGGGCATATATTTGATTTATATAGAAAGAGCCGTTAGCGAAAACGAAAACAAGGTTGCTATAAATAAGTCTGTGTTTCAATACATTATTTTTGGGCATTTGGAGGTATAATTTCGCAGGTAGTTTTCCAATAGAAGCATTTTTGAACCAAGCTTGATATATGGAAAATAGTCGACGTTCAATATCACAAACAAAGAATGTTTATAAGAAACATCAAAGCCATAAAATGAATTCGCTATATTATACAGGATGACATGAGCTTATCAACTCATAAAAAATTCAATCATAATGAACTACAGCTCAATTTTAACTCTAATCAATTCTTGATATTTTAAATACATACAGAGCTATACATTCGTACATTAGCTCATGAGAAACATGGCAAACTGCAATAAATCATGTCGTAAAAGGTCACATGGTAATTGAATGTCATAGAATGATGCCACGCGTATATTACTTTCGACTTTGTATGGCATTGTATGTAGAACGGCTGTGCCACTGTTATCTGTGATATGATATGGTTATTCCGACTTATATGACGAGATCTTCAAATTAACTTAATCTGCGATTTCTTCTCGTGTTTTTAAGTACAGAACCAGTAAGTCCTAACCATAAAACAGTTAATACATGTCAGTTCTTTGTTAAAAAAACGTAATTGGAAAAGTAAGAAACGCAGGATTAAGACTGCTTTCAAAATCAATCTGATGTATGATGTATTTAGTAAGAATTGAGAAATTTGTAGATTATTCTAAGTCTGTTCAACTGCAGGGATGAGAGCTATAAGTGGCTTGATTTAAAAATGTGTTTGTAGAGCTAGTGAAAAGACAATAACACCCAATATAAGTTTGGTTTTTTTATGAAAACTTCTCCAGTAAAGGTGATATGAGGTAAATCAGCTATGAAAGGTTGTCTTGCAAATAATAAGTCGTTATCTAGTAAGATTTCAGGTTCATTAACTTATACGACACAGTCAAATAGATTTTTCTACAAATATATATAATAGACTTAATTCTAAACTAAAAAAGTCTTTCGACATATTTTCAACAAGTCGTAGTAAGTCATAGCAAAACGTACCTTAAATTCAGTTTCATTGCCTGTTGCAAAATCATAGTTTAGCATCTTACTCGTTGGCCATTTTGGGTTTACGTATATCGTTTGTGGTTTTAGCTACGAAACCCGTGGATGAAGTCTGTGAAAGTTTCGCAAAAGTTTTTGCATCAATATTATAAAAATCATTTGGTCTACCAGTAAACTTGTGACTAGTTAATTGGTCAACAGGGATTTTTAATCAATTGCAAATGCAGAGGGGAAGTCAACTATCGACTTCTAGGAATGAACGTGTTATCTGGAATCTGAGCTTTTTATCATTTTGTAACACTATGTGATTCTGCATATTTCTCGGGGATGTCTTTACTTGATATTGATCTTGTTCGTTATCTTTTTATATACCGCTTAGCATGAACTAGGGTAAAAACACAGACAATTTGAGAATAGCGTTTATGCGCTTATAATGTGAACCACATCAAAGAAAACCTTTGAATCAATTCTTGTATTTTGAATGGTAATTGCTGAATATGTGTCTTTATTGACCATGTCAAACGATTTTTCTCGCATAATTATTCTACGTCGCCCTAACGTTTGGGTCGATAAATTCTTATTCTCGTTTGTGATTCTCACGAGAATCCAACGCTAAGTACCTTAATTATTTCCACTTGTACAGCGTGCCAAAAATATCTTCTGATGAATTTTCGTTGACCTGCTGCTGAAAAGGGAATGATTTATGAATAGATATATATGTACATTTTTCGATTGATTTTGATAATCTGATATACTGTAATTCGTTTCTCCTAAACATTTGTTAAGCTAATAAAAGAATATTATTTTTTGATGTTAGTGCAACCTTCATTTTAAAAAATACAATATTTAGCAATATAGCTGTAGTTTGTCATAATTTTTTTCGGGTTTAAATTTGGTCATATTAGCTTATACTGCTAATTTTATTACTGCAGAAAACTCGATAGCGTATCAGAAATGAGAGCATTTCACCCACTAGAAACATCTTATAAACATCAAAATTTTATTCGCTTCGTCATCACAAACACTCGTTTCGTGTTCAGTTTCCACCAAACAAAATACATATATAGTTTTGTTTGGGACTTTGGTGGTTAGTTTTGCCGTTGTTTTGAAAAACCCGTTCCAATTAAGTCGGATAGCAAATGTTTTCCCACGATGCCATTCCAGCCGAACAACAATTTTGTTCATACCTTAGTTAGCAACGGAACCGGGGCGGTTAATTTGATTTATTTTGACAAAATTTTATTAATAATAATTTTGAAGAATTAGGGAGTAATTCTATAAAAAGCATATTGTTTGTCGTATTTAAATGAGTGCGATATTATCTTGTCGTAAGCATTGTCAAATGGGCTGTCAGGTTCAGTAACGATACAGTCGATAAAACTGAAATACATCCCTCTGTGAGTACATATAATAATATGAAAAAAAAACAATGATTTTAACTTGAGTTTTCAGTTTTCAGTAATATGATAACGAAAGACAGCCAGCTAGCTAGAAAGATGTGTTGTCAGCTAAGATAAAATTGATTGATTTCGATAATATAAAAAAAAAAAAATTAACTTGAGTTTTCAGTTTTTAGTAATATGATAACGAAAGACAGCCAGCTAGCTAGATAGATGTGATGTCAGCTAGGATAAAATTGATACGATTCGAATTTTGGAACTCTCATAATGCATCGATCTAATTATTTATCTATGTTAGTACCAAGTTCATTAGTTTTATTTAGACTCGATTTTATAAATACTCTGCAAACACTTTATTTTTCAGATTGAGTTTGATGTGTGGCTCATCCCTTTGTACAAAACAATCTTATTACATATTTTAGAACTTTCCAAAGGATTTTAGAGTTTTCTTTAATTGAATCCTTCGAGGATTGTAGATGCCAAAATAACTGCCGTGGCTCAATTCAATTATAGATTTTACCTCCTGTTTGTAGAAATAGGCCAAGAAGGTGTATTTCAGACCTGTCATTCTTAAGATTTCATAGTTTCCCCAAAAACAATTAATTTGCGATTTTATAATTTGGATATATTAGGTATTTCAGTTGCAAAAGATGATGTGAGGTTTTGTAAAACTTGAGTCAACTTGAATAGGAAATTCTTATAGTTCGAGAATTTTATATTCGTATCATACGTAAGGTAAGAGCAGTTCACCATCCTTTGTGAGTTTTTTTAACGGCTTTATACTTAGGAAGTGCTTGCATGTAAATGAAAAACTAATTTTATGCATCTTGAATAGTCCTACCCCGTTCATTGACTACGCCTGTTTCAGTTGTATGGATCACATTTCATATGAATACTTGACCTTCTGCCAAATGATATATAAACCACAACATGAGATGAGACCCACTTCATATGCTTACGTTAACCCTTTTTCCAGCAATATATATCTACTCTAACTCAGAACAGTAGGGCAACAGACAGACGAGTGTGGGGCAGGTACGTGACAAGTGTGAGATAATTGGGGCAGGCTGTGGAACATGTGAAGAACAAGCGGCGCACGGCATTTTGGGACACCGCACTCACCCTATAGCAAAACCAAACGATTTCTTTTTCTTTTATTCTAAATAACGGAGTAGGATTAACTGAGTAAAATCTTATAAAATTCTTCGGTCTACTAGTCCAAGCGTAAAGATTGGTTCAATTGAATGCTTAATGAGGCGTTTAGTATTTTATTTTGGCATGAATACCCAACAACGAGAGCGTTCACATCATACGTGTTTTATCATTCACTTCGTAATAAATTACTAATGTTATATACGGTGCTCCAAGGCCTTAGTGATACCCACTTTTGAACTTGTATCCTCCAATTTACTGGGACGTTTAATTATTGCTATTATATTTAAACCTATACTTCTAAAATTATGACTGACTCCAAATAAATACAATTACGACGATTAGATTTTATCATTTCGCAGTTTTGACTTGTGATAATGCTCTTCTGAATACGTCAGCAAAACTTACTGACGTAAACTTACCGAATCGATAAAAGACTAAATGATATCTCAATTATTTGAATATAAGAAGTTAGATTTTGGTAATAAAACATTTTGTTTTCCAAATCAAAGAATTGCAAACATACACACACACGTACAGTGCAGTAATAATACAGGTGGGCTGGACGAATAAAACTTTTTTATAAGATTTTGGGTAAAAGATTTTCAAATTTAATTCTTTTAACTAACGAAAAATAAATTGTTACTGCGTTGGCTTAAGGGTTTCTTCATTTAAGTGTTGATCGTAAACCTGGCATTCACGTACCAGTTTATGAAAATCAAAATACATTTGAACGACCATTCGCCGATCCAGTTTCTGTGATATCGATACATATATATCAGAAAATGAAAATCAGTGATTTATTTTAATATGGCCGATTGAATGCGTCGAGAACTTGGACATTGCGTCATCATTCAAAACGTACAGCATACGAAATAGCCATAATTCGATCTTGATGTGCTGCCTTAATTCTTCGCATTCTATTGCGCTGTGTAGATTTTGAAGATGTGCACATAAGACAATGTAGACGTTTGGCAATATATAAGATTGAGAATCAAGTACAAACATTCACGTTTGGAGTGAGAATCTACCGACTACTCTATTTATGAAATTTGAAAAATAAAACTTCAATTAAATTCAGCTATACTTTAAAATTTAATGTATAATTCATATATCGTTGATAACATCTTGAAATTATCAGCCAAAATGTCATCATCATCGCTCAATGTTATCAAATTTCATAGCTGGCAATGAAGTAAAAAATTATCATGACATAAAAAAAAAAACAGGTTTAATACCTGGGCAATGTCTGATCATACGTGGTTTGGTAATTTCATGTTATAGATTTCAAATGAAATTTAGTCACTCCAAAGATAAGATGATCATTTATATTCCCTGTTTTCTCGATTTTTGGAGCACAATGTTGAAAGTATAAGATTTTAATAAGAAACTATTTACTGAGTGACCATGCTTTCAAGCTAGAACCTCATTAATTATTTATATATATCATAGAAGAAATATGGTGATTATGCGTCAAGATGCTGAAATGATTGTTCACCGTTGCCATATTTTTAAATCTCATCTCACGGAAACAAATCTAATTAATAAAAGCGAACGTGAAAGCAAACAAATTTTATTTTTTAGGAAATATTAGAAATCACTAAATCGAAGTTTCACATCTATCACTGGGGAGAAAAAAAAACTAATAGACTCCATAGTCACGTGGCAAACTCGAATTCACGAGACTAAAATTTGGGTGTAAAGATTTATAAAAATAACTGTATATTTCTCATTAATCAATGGGTTAAATGCTTCCGCTAAAATTCTCTTATTCATCTCGTTTTTCTTATTTTGTAGATTCCATTTATAAATTTAAGAATATTACATTGACCAACATAATGGCGGGAATGATATCTTTTCTACATAAAAGTCAGCTTCGTCTGGATTCCGGATCAGGAGCTGCTACGATGGAAGATAGTGGAAATGATTATAGAAAACCCTGTAGAAGAAGTCCTGCCAGTGGAAGGCGTATTCTTGCGCTCGGGTACGAACTACGTATATTTATTGCAATAATATTTCAGTTACAATAAGAATCAAATAAGGATATTTGTAACGACTCAACTATTTTGTGACTTCGGCAAGAAAATATTTCTAAGCAAACTAATGTACAAGTGACAATTTCTTGTGAGGCGTTTTCACACCAATTATCACACTATTCATTTTAACATTTCTCCTTAACATATGGAAGCTCAAGTAATGACGAAACCAGTACAAAATAATCAATTTTCATATGTTTATTTAACAAACCATTATCGCGTTATGCTGCTTATAACGTTAATCGCCGTGAGGTTAGTTAGATTAAGCAACTTATCAAATTACTACTCTTTTGTGACATCTTGCGCTTCCGTATTTTAGCATCAAAATATTCACAAGGACTAAATCGAACATGTGTTTATATTAGGGTTTATTTCGTTCTATATATTTGATCTCTATTTTATTCCTCTATCAGAGTAACCGTTAAATTATATTTGAAGCTTTCCACTCAAGTGTTAAAGTACACCTCCATTTGTCATATTTATTCGGACGGAAAATCTTTATTTCGCACATTCCCTGCTGATTGCGATGTCGGATAGTAAGTATGATTGCCAGTGTACTTATTGCTGTTTTAGTATTCCAGAAATAATTTTTGCGGCAAAAGCTGTTGTATGTTAATAAATAGAATAATATAGAAGTCGTTCAGTAATAGTAAACTATCGATAAAATGCAGAATATTCACCGCTGATATCAATTATTATATATATTTTTAGTTTTTTCGTAATGTGTTTCGTTTTGGCTGTTTACGGTCTATTTTTTATCTAATGTAAGTAATTTTTAAATACTCGCAGCGTATCAGAAATATTTGGTTACGGTCATTAGCCAGCTTAAAATACCAATTGATTCAAATTGAAATCTGTAGCGTCATTACCTACTTTTTGACATTGTAATTAGTCTTTTCGCATTCGAGGCGTCCGTTCGCATTCTGTCTGTCGCTATGGGGCTTAATTAACTCAAAATGAAATAATTAATTGAAAAATCGTCATCGCAATCCAGGGTCGAGCAAACTTATATTGCTATTAAGTAAACCTTTGTGTATTTACCTTTCACCACTCGGATATTCTATGTTAATATTTCATATTTCTGATTAGTGAAAACTATCGAAACTAAACACGAAATCATTGTTTTAAGTTTGAATTGTAACAGAACAATGATATTATCATTGGCTGTAGACGTGATATACTCGTATGTTCGTGTATTATACTCCGTCTTACGTCAATATTATTTGACTCATATTGACTTTCAAAACATAATGTAAATTCTCTGGGCGGTACAACCCATTAAGCAGACTATAAAATGGGATTTTTAATCTTCTACAGTCAGTTATCAATTAGGCATTTTGTCTAAGATGGGGGATATTAGAAAATATGTAACTAAGCTAATCGAAAAGATTAGTAAATTAACTTATTTTTTACGTGCATAGTACATTTATGCTATTCACCCGTCTGTGTGTACTTGTATGTACAACGATTTCATTACCGCGAGCCTGAGGAAGTGAATTTTTTCAAAATTGCAGATATTAGGTTTCGACCGCATATTTTTAGCAGTATCTGATAACTAGAGCTTCGTCAGTCAGAATATGTTCAAATATTAGGGGTTTGTCCCGTCTTGAATTCGTAGAAAGGCAATATTTGAGTGGTAGGCCGTACATCTCTTGTTTCAATATTTTTGGGGGCGTTTGCTTCATGCCAGTTATTTATATATTTCTAGGTAGGTGAATGAGTAAATCAAAAAAATATTGAGAGTTTATACCTGGTTGGGCGGCGAAATGGATACAGGAAGAGTATAATTTGTGATTTATACTGAGATCTTACTGTTTTGTCCAGAAATCGAATTCTTTTTTTTTTTTGACAAGTGATGAAATCACCATACTAATCGTCTTTCATTTAAAAGACTAGTGAAAATTATGATTTTGTGACTCAAATGCCACTCTCGGGCGCACATTATTAGTTAATTTATTCATCAATTTATTCAATATTATTCGTTTTCAGCTGTGAACAATGCTGGACAACATTGATACTTACATTTTTTAACTTTGTAATCTCACACGTTTATATTCTGAAATGATAAGTATCCAGAAATTGCAATGTAGTTTGCCAATGAAATATATACTTTTGAAATATCATATTTGCAATTGTACAACAAATATCGGAATTCTTCTCGAATGTCTTTACTTATTTATTTTGGCATTTTGAAAATATCATTGTTTTTTTAATATATATTTTTTTGGTAATGTCATAAACAACAAAATGTCGTTCAGGTTCATTGAATAATTTGAATAATAAATAGTTATATTCATTGGTCTTCAGGCACGGAATGAAAACTCTAGCTGGGCCATCAGACAGATTACCGAAGCGTTTCAGAAAAAAACGGTAAGGATATACCATGCTAGTGTTCTTCATGTGTATGTATAGGTTTACTTGTTATTTAATCCGAACATAGTTGTCTGATTCAAACACTCAAATATTTGCATATTGATTATTCCTGCTCGATATTGCACTCTGTAAAACAAGAAAAGTATCAGTTCATATTTCAGAATTTATATTTTATCGCTTTTTTATTGAAGTTCATACCGCTCATTTCTTAAGCCGTTTGTTCCTGTTTTATACAAAATTCACAGCCTTCCACCAATGTCAAAAGCATCATGTATTCGGAAATGCAAAATATCTCAAAATGTAACTGCGTATTGAGATAAGTTTCAATTACCCAACCCTATTTTGGCGGTATTGATCTTCATATGCTTGCATTTCATGCTCATTGTAGTAACTTTGAAAATCTCTGTAATTTTCGTTCATGCTTAGTGTTATTTTGCTAATGTTCCTCACGCACGTCACGTTTATCACTTAGTTGCAATGAAATTCATCCGCTACTTCGACGAAGTGTCTGCACTTTAATAATGGCGGGAGCAGGATTGATGGCAGGAATTACTATCTTACTTGTTGATCATTATATGCATAAAGAGGTAAAGTTAAAATTTTATCATGAAAACTTATTTAAAGCACAGTGAAATGAGTGAGCGAATAAATCTAGAGAAAAACAACGCAATCACAAAATCACTGGTATCTGCTGGGAGTTATTTGTGAACCAGTGTCTCCAATCTAATTGAATCGTTACCACACGCCACTTTCACCATAACATTTGATCATTAACAATTTAACAAACGTACAAAACGATAAGATAAGAATGTATAGCATCCCTTTGAGGTTCGCGTCGAGACTGCGTAAACTTTTGACGTCATGTTAGTGCAGTGTTTCTTGGAACGTTGGTGAACGTATAAAGTACAAGTAATATCAAAAATGATTGTAGATCAATGTTTATGGAAGGCTAGTGCATTTGTATATTGTAATGATCCGCTGTGTGTAGTTTACTCTGCCTATCAAGCGGTTGAACTGAACTTCCGTCTGTTTGCTGAAGGAAGCGAATCCGAGTTTGAAACTATCTTGTTGCACTCAACCGCGAGATGCAAAATTGCTGAAAGAAGTTTAAGTAGATATACCTGCTTCACTGCAAAAAGTAAAACATGAAAGCACGACAAATTCCCCGAAGTTTATCTGTCTGTTTTTGATGTGCTCCTCGCTATTATAACAAAATTCCGAACCACAATAGAAATGAGACATATTGTGAGAGATCCACTGTCCCAAACAGAACCCGAAATAGAAGAACTGATGTGAACCAAGCAATTGCATCTATCCCACTAAACTGCACGAATGAAATGCAATACATGAATGTTTAATATTACGTGTTGCTATTCTGAATTCTTTGGCGGACCGCGAGTCATCAGAAAAATTGTAACGGGACCGTTATGCAATTTTTTTTAAAAGTTTCCGAACCATTGATGTATACAGATTACAGATACATGTATATTGAAATTCAAAATAACTACGCACAATTACAAATAATGTCTGGATTTTATTTGGATAAATATTGAAAAAATCACAATTTTATACTTTAGATGGCAGGATACAATTTAGTAGAATTTCTACAACTATGGGCCATTCAAAACCAATTTATTCAAAATATAAAATTACCTTTCTATGATGCTTTTTGTCTAAAAGTGATTTCGATAAAAACAAATTTTAAATTGATAAACGGTCACTTTCACACTTTTCTGATTTTGTAGGTTAAGGTCTGAATGTAATGTTTCCAATCTTTGGCGTTTTATGACACGGTCAACCATAATACCTATTTTATACCTCAGTTTGTTTATATGATTTTTGTTACTGCATTTTTCTAGATTTCGAGGGCTGGGATAATAGTTTCATCTATATCACTGTGTTTTATAATTCTCGGAATAGCTTGGCTATGTTGGAGCACAGCTCAACTTCGAAAACTCAGAGAAAAGATTCTTGAGAAACAAGCTGAACGTGAAAATAGGGTAAATTGCCATTTGGAAATAGCATGACATCGTAATTTAATTTTTTATTTATCTCTGCTGTATTAAAAACAAATACTAGAATTATATATAGATTCGGCCCTGCAGATTCGAAAGTAAAAGTTAAAAAGTCAGTTTGTTTCACAATTCTGATATATATGCTATATTTCCTCATGTACGAGACCAGTTTGCCCCCGAGTACAACAACAAACAGTGGAAGATATAAATCCGTTTAGAATGGCAAAATCATTGAAATTGTTTGCCAAAACATTATTGATACTTCGTATTCAAAGCGTATTTTTACAAAGAAATAACTTAAATATTCAATAATTGCGCTACGCTGCGTTGAATATACAAAACTTTAACTGCATCTTGAGCAGAAAATATTAACGTGAAAACGAACGCATAGTTATTATTGATATTGCTGTTATGCACGAAAAAATTTATTTGGGTTTGTTTTAATTTTCTTGCCGATTTTTTTCACTACAGCACGTTTCACTAATTAACGTTTTGACTATTATCTTAGCGTCTTCCATACTCAAAATTTGGTGCTCCAGAAGTATTGCACCAAGATGTCGCACAACCTGAATTCTAACCGGTACACACACATACTATGTTCAGGTTGTGCGCCATCTTGGTGCGCATACTTCTGAAGGTCCCGAAGTTTTTGTGCGATTGTGTTTCTTTGCCATGAATGTATATTTGTTTAATTGCTTACAAAAGCAGGGGAAAGGAGGAGGAACAGGCCAATTTTATACTGATCGGCCCGCACATGATCCTGCATCTCTTTCTGCCGCCAAATGGCCAATGGAGTCCGTTATTAGAGAAGATTCATCTAAATCAAGGTGACTACATTCACGATGTTCTTTTTGTAATTTGACCTACAAATTGTTCCTTATCATTATTACCCGTATTATCATTTTATATTCATTTTTTCTTCTATTCAATCCGGACAAAAAATCTAGTTTGTATGATCGTTTTGACCCTGAAATCTCTACTTAGCTACATTTAATATACAAATCACGTTAGATACATCGATAGATTTAGAATGATGCAATTGAACCTACACCTTCTTCCCTGCCTGACTGCTAATTTCTTATTCTGCCGTCCACTTTGTTAGTAGAAAATGTTGACATATTCCTTATAACATTTGTTAAATTCACATTCTAACATTACAATTGAATGTCATTTAATTTATAAAGACATTTCAGATCAAATTTGTATATTTGATAATATCCACAATTGTAATTGACTGAGTTCCTGTTCGCATGCGATTACTGGTTTGTGAGTCTTCTGTTCGATTCCAATCGCACCAAAGTAACATCCCAGTTTCTGTTTTCGCGTCCAAAACAAGATATTAGTTTGAAAATGGTAATTTTTGCAAATACTTCAATTTAGAAGACTAAACTCTCGTAATAGCGTCGAATATGAGGGTGATATTCCTTACAACGTTCCCACAAACTCCAGAAAATATAATAAGTTCAATCAGCTGCCATCCAACATGTCCGGAACTAGTTTGATGAGTGAAAATGACAGCGTTTTTACACGTGAACTTTCAACCATGGATTTCTACAGACAAAAATCAATCGACAGTCGTCAGTCCACAGGTTCTGGTCCAGTACCGCAGATTTACGTCACAGGGTGCACCAACGAGCAGAAAAAAGAAGATAAGAAAGAAGACTCGTCATCCCGGAGAGCTCCTAAGACAGAAAACATCGAAATGAGAAAAATATGACTATGTAAAAAGTAGAGCTCAACTATTACGGGAAATAATAAGTGCACCGCAGAGGATGGGCTTCACGCGGTTTAAATAAATACGTGCCCGTTGCGATAACAGCGCCACTGATGGTGGCCATGCGACTGACTGCTAATAGCATAGAATTAAATATTATAATACTAAGTGAATGAGGTCAAATTCTAATCTTACAACACAACATTCTTAATAATCCATGCGCCATAATATTGTTCCAGGCAATTGTGTTCACCGCAATTCTCTTATTTTTGCACTTCCAATATTAAAAAGCATTTGATTCCAAGTTGCCATTATTATCATTAAAATTGTTGATCATATGCTTCAGTTTGACATAATTTCTAAAATACTCACACAACATGGCATCTGAACTGATTTTTGGATGAACAGATATATAATGGTATTGTGTCACTGATTTATCTGAGAATATTTTGTTGTCAACTTAATATTGCTAACGGCATATGATATACTGTATATAATTCCGTGTATAATCGGTACATTTTACAATCACTTCTGATAATAATCTTTTAATACAATATAATAGGCTCCGCTGCCACCTTCCATAGACAAGTTAGATTAGCAATTTTTTAATTTGAATCTTTATACTTTTCAGTTATTTATACGATGATCTAATATAATTCTGCCATGTTTTTGCTTTGTTTGCTATTTGAAACAATAAAAATATAAGTGTCAATGAAAATACGGCACCGGCTTTAGCTGTGGTGAAAATCAACATGAGATCACTGCTATCAATAAACTGTTCAATCACCAGAACGTGAAACATTTTTATAAAAGGTAATAAACAAGTCGTTCTGCTAAATTGTTGTTGTTGTCAATTTTTTGTTGTTGTTGTTACGACGGTTGTTAGGATTGTTTTGGTAAGAAATCACCTTTCTGTGCAACTGATAAACCAACCGATTTCAAATACGGACAAGGTAACTAGGAGGCTGTTATCTTATCTTCCATCCCAATTTTTTGTCTTTGTTATTTGATTAGAGGGAAACACTTTGTATCCCGCAACGTAACGCTTGCCTTCGATCAGTTCTCAGTTCCCAAATACTTTACCGTATTGGTACCAAATTGCCCATTGCTCTCTTGTGTGTATTTTTAGCTTTGGAAAATCGCTCTCACTCCTCTCCCATGTTTGAAGTAAAATTTATGATATGATTGTCAATGTTTGCATACTTGAGTCGAAATTATCAAATTTCCCTATAGTTATATCCATGATATATACTGATAAAAACACGTTTCGAAATGTTTGTTTCTAGTTAGTATTTACCAGACAAGCGTAGCCACTTTACGCATTCTTATCGCTTTAGTTAAGTATTATTTGAGATAAGGCGTCTCAGATAGCAAAGCACGACGGCACGATCTTCCTAAAGCTTGCGTGAACTAATGCTATTTTACCAGAATCATTCTTGTATTTCAAATCGTATCTTCAAATGCTACTGATTGGGTATTTTGATGCATTGTTTCGTTTGTGTAGAAATTCATCACCATTCTCATAACCATTTTGAAATGTCATTCAATATGAGAATCCTTGCTAGACTTCGATGATTATATTATATTTATATCTATTCCTAGTTTTCAGCTTATATGATGTATTGAAACAAAAAGTAGTATATATCACACCTAGACTACCATACCGAAACCTTATAAAAAAGACTTCCGACTTCGCGTAGCACAAAATAAGCTGACATGCCGTTTAATTTTGATGAAGTCACTACACAAAATTTCGAAGTGAAAAACGAATTCCGTAGAAACCACAAACATCTTTGAAATAAATAAAAGTAACAACCCTCTACTGAAAATTTCAAAGCCGTTGGTCCAGTAAATGGAGACAAAGGCGATTTTTCGTAACAACACGCAGAACGAACAGAGCTTAACATAATGTTAATAATAAAATACTAGGAAGCGATGCTAAAATATATGGAGACGAAGACCAAACGCGAATAGTCCACTTTACTTTATATATACAGCATCTTATCTAGTCTACTGTATGGTACGGAGAAAAAACTTTCGCGTAGCACGAGAGAGGTCGCAGAACCGCTACAAATACATTTTATTAATTTTGAAGAGGCCATCATTCAAAGTGTAAAACTAGGTTCCCTTATCTTTGAACCCGCGTACATTTGAACCCGTACATCTGAACCCAGAACAATTGCACCTGCATACTATTGCACCTATGGACATTTGCACCTACGGACATTTGAACCCATACATTTCCACCCATGGATTTTAGCACCCGCATATAGATTGAACCCGTGTACGTTTTCACCCGCGTACATTTGAACCCGCGGACATTTGAACCCATGTACATTTGAACCCACGAACATTTGCACCCGCGGACATTTGAACCCATGTATATTTGAACCCGCGTACATTTGAACCCACGGGCATTTGAACCCGCGTATATTTGAACCAACGTATATTATATTTGAACTCGCGTACATTTGAACCCGCGTACATTTGAACCCACGTACATTTTCACAAAAAATGTTTGCCCCAACGGCAATTTCCAGTCGCAAATAATTTTCATGTTACAGGCGCAAGCTCAATATTCTAAATGTCAACACTGTTTCACTTGTAGTTAGTTTTGGTGTATATGCATTTACCCGCTTCTACGAAGCAAGCATTTTTGAGTGTCATTGCAGTCCGAGGGATAAACGGTTCTTAACGATATAAACAACATTGTTCTGCCAAGGTCTTTTTTCTTTTGCTGTTTTTTTTACATTGACATTTGTAAATCCTTATCTCATTCGTTAGCCGCGATCTCCAAAACAGATGATTTAGAAAGCGGTATTTCGTTGAAATACCTGAAACCAGGGCTAATACGGAACAAATATCTAACAGACCAATGAAGTCTTAAATGAGGGTCTTACTAAAACTAGCTTTACAGTAATATTTTTAGTGGTCAACTCCTATAAATTTGTTCCGAAATTATTGCATCGAAAACGCCTACTATGATATCCCGCCCAGCATGAGATTTGGGAGCTCTGTGGCCACTTCATGTTTTCTTGCTAGCATGTTTACAAAATTGTTATATGTATGCATACACGACCACGCTTTACTGTTGAAAATGAGTGTTGTCTCAAATCAGGTTTTGCCATTTTTCGTAAAATCAATCTATAAATTGAATACTATTGTCTGTATATAAATAAATAAACGCACAGATTCTTCGTTTCTAAGAAAATATGAAATTAAGATAATAAAACTATGCCATTTTTGTAAAACAACATGTTCATAGCCAAATGCCAGTTTTATTGAAGTATTGTTTCATTAGAATGTCAGAACAAAACTATCAATAGAAATCGTAAGTCATGTAAATATGTTGAATATTCGAAAGTGAAGAAGTTTTAAAATCATTATCGTGGTCAAAAATGGTTTTTGCTGTTTACACTATTTAGAGTAAATCGAACATATTCAGCATATAGGGTCTGTTAAATATGATATTGCAATTTACAAACGACGTCATAGGTTACGGATTACATTTATTTTAATATCTCAATAAAGTTATCACTCACAAATTTGTGTCGAATGGGCCATCAATTTTGAGATAGAGTAGCTATGGACGTTTTACAAAATGGGAATTTATCAATTATGATACAATAGTTAAACAACAAATCAAAATAATGACGATAAACGAAATTTTACGATATCACGATCAAAGTCAAAATCAAATAGACTGCATTTGAGCTATTGAGTGGAGATACCTCAGCTTGTCATAGTCATAGTCAATTTTATTTTTTCCAACCAGCAAAAAAATAACATACAAAATCAAAAGATAAACAAAATTTAACACACATTTTTACTGGGGAAGGGAAGCCGCGGGGAACCAAATTTGGTTATCGAGCAGCGACACCCAAGATTCGTCATCTAATTTAATTTGGATACTCGGAAGTTAAAGTTGGTTTCAGTTCCATATGAAAAAACTTTAACTGACAACCTAACAGCAAGTTGTACATACTTTGATCTTTGGTGGGCCGTAACTCCTACATGAGCATTTGCCGCAGTCAGTTTGTGGACCGCAATGTCTTTTCGTAGGTCATTCAGCAAACCCCATATACTCGGATGTTTGCATCGGAACATTCCTTGTAAGGCGTTGTGAAATCCTTCTACAGCGTTTGTTGTTTTGGGGCCGAAGGCATCATTTCAATCTCTTTGGCATAGTTCCACAATCGAGGGGGAAATCTTGCTTCTCTTGGACGTGAACCCACTTGAGGTCCACGAATATAGGTAGATTCAAAATATTGCAAAAGTTGATTGCATTCGGGCAAATCTTCGAAGGTGTCGCAAAGCAAGGTGAAGACTTCGGCAACCTCGTTAATGGGAACAAAAGCCAGAGCTGCCAAACTTCTAATTATCAGATTGAAAGAGGGTAAACATTCAAACTTCTCTTTTATTCCGATAGAACCAACTTTTTGAATTATAGCTTGTGACAGGTGAAAATAACATCCTTTAATATCGGCCAGAGGAAATTGTGCATGGAATGCATTGATAGCTGCTATTTCAAAATCAATGATTTTGGTGGGGTTAGCATTTGGGAAAATGATGTCACGTCTTTTGATAGCCCGGAATCTATATCGACGAGACACAATGAAAACGTATCGAACGCGCCACTCTCAGCCCCTTTGTCCACAAACAAGACACGTGCATAAATCACTTCTTCATATTCTTGGCAAAGAACAGCGGTTTTCTTAAATAGATAAAACAAAATTGATTAACATAAGTCAAAGCATATAACAACAACAAAAGGCAAATTTCTCACCAAATCATGCCATCATGACAGGAGCCCAAAATCCAAGGGGATCAAACAACGAGCTTAACGCGGACAAAATACCTCGCCGAGTAAACTCTCGATCGGGAATATCAATCTTGCACCCGAATTCATCGCTCAATGCGCTCCAATACACGCCTAGAACGCGATTAGACACACCGTCGTCCAAGACACGACTTCGCAGTTGCTTACAACGCTTGCTTTCCGGCAAACTATTCAAAACAACCTTACTATTGGACATCCATTTAGTAAGTTTAAACCCTCCTTTACTCAACAAGGAACGTAGCTGCATCACCGTCGAAACAGCATCGTTATCATTTTTGCAACTGGACAAACAGTCAACATAGAAGACTCGTTTAACAATTTCTAAAATCTTGGGATCGTATTCCGCGCCAAAGTCTTTGCAACAGACAAAATGCAGCACAACTAGGTGATGACGAAGCACCAAACAAATGCACAGTCATTTCATGTTCGACTGGCTGTGTAGATAAATCTCCATCGACCCACCACAAAAATCTTAGAAAGGCCCGATCCTCCGGTTTGACTCTAATCTGATAGAACATTGATTCAATATCAGCAATAATCGAGATGTTTTTTCTTCGAAATCGGGTTAGTACACCGACCAAACTATTAACAAGGTCTGGGCCACTCATAAGCGCATCATTCAACGACAAACCCTCGGACTTGGACGCACAATCAAAGACGATTCTAAGTTTGTCTGGTTTCTTTGGGTTTATCACAGGATGATGTGGCAATAACCATTTTGTTGGATAGATGTTCGGCGACCTAGGACTGTCAGCTATACGAGCGTATTCTTTATCAACATAATCATTCAATGTCTGAATATATTTTTGGCGCAATGTGTCATCTTTTAAAAGACGTCGCTTTAACTGACGAAGGCGATTCTCCGCCACTTACTGATTACATGGTAACTCGCGATGATCGATTTTCCACAATAAAGGTAGTTCGCAATGTCCATCAACAAATTTGAGTTTGTCTTCCATGCAACTACGCGCTATTTTATCTTCGCGGGAAGTTTTAGTGTCACAAATACTGGGGACGTCAGCAAAATCTGTACGCCAAAGTCGCTCAATCTGCGACGCCAAAGGATTTGTATCAACAAAATTAATGGAAGTGTTTTCATAGACGGTCAGAGACGGACCCATAAGAGACCAACCCAGAGGGGTTTTCACCGCAATCGGCTGTTGACTCCGACCCTTTCTAAATTCCTCCCACACAAACACTTCGGGAACATCCGCTCCTATCAGCAAAGTCACTTCACCGTCGTGTATTCGAGGAAAGTCGATACCAGACAAATAGGATAGCTTACGCAAGGAACTGCGCGAGGGTAGCTTATTGGGCTTTATAGGCAAGTTACTGACGCACAATACATTGGGCAATTCAATGCAATCGTCATGTCCGTCAATTTCTTTAACGAGTAGAGGGGACAACTTCTTTGCTTTAACACATTTGGGACGATTACCAACAGTTTGCAATGTAACATCTATAGGCACCCCGGTTAGATTTAATTTGTTCATCAATTTCACACTACACATGGTGGTTGTAGAAGCACAGTCCAAAAGAGCGTATGTATCAAAAGCCCTGTTGCCAGCAGTTACTGTCACCGGGGCGATATTCGTGTAAACACCGGTGTTCCCTTGTTGCTTTGCGGGCGCCAATTTATTAGCGTGAACGTCGTGATCCGCATGGTTCATCGAGGTACCGACGGAACAAGTATGTTTACTAATATCATCTCGCCGTGTAGGTGTCTCGAGATCGCGATGCAACAAAACATGATGGAACGGATACTTACAATCGTGAATGGGGCAACTTTCATTCTGGGTGCACTGTCTAAACATATGCCCTCGTCTTAAGCATTTGAAGCACAACTGATTTCGTCTAGCCACGTTATATCGTTCGTACCATGAAAGAACTTTAAATTTCTTACAGTTTAATAATTCGTGAGAGGAATTACAACACGGGCAGTGCCAATTTGAACCACTAGCAGAAATAGCAAAAGCACTACCTTTCGCCTTAAAATTTTCATAATAATTTGATTGCCTTCCATCTCTTCGGGCAAAACGGAAGACTGATCTTGAAACATTAGCTTGCTCGGTGACAAATTTAGAAAGGTCGTTGTAACTAGCTTCACGATCCTCCGTTTCTAAAATTGTTGCCACTTTGAAATCCCAAGCGTTTTGCGACTCTGGTGGCAATCGTTTAACAATGGCCAGCAAATTGTCAAAATTATTAAGATTGTCGTACTCACTGATTTCTCCAAGAACTAAGCCACATTTCCGCATCAGTCGCGCATACGCTTGCATACCTTTCGCGTCGTCAAAGTTCAACTTCGGACCACGTTTCAACCTGTCCAAACAGGTGCGGGAAATGACATGATCTTTACCATATTCATTCTTCAGCTCTCTCATAGCTTCGCGATATCCGCGACTCGGTTCCATCATTGAGCAATGATCAATGGCATTTTTCGCTTCGCCCTGGCACAGCTGTAACAAATAACTCAGACATACGTTATCATCATCTACAAGATCTGTAACATGGGCCTTAAAGTTGCGGATAAAGGAATAATATTCCATTGGATCACCTGAAAATTTTGCAATTTCTGGTTTGGGTAGATCGACAGTTCTGCGATGTAAAACATGATTCAAACGTGGAGGCACAGGATTAGCTGAGCTACTATCAGCTGTGTGTGTAGGCAAAGTCGGCAAACGCCGTGGAGTATTTTCACGACCGGTATCAATGAGCTGTGATTTAGGTGGGAAATCACGGGATTTCACGCTATTGTCGTGCCTAATTCTATCTACTGTTACCCACCGCAAAAATTCGTCATCGCTCATTTCCCAAACCTTTGATTCTGTTTCAGCAGTCTGCAAAGCGTGTCTTGTCCGAAGCTTACGCAAGTCGTCTTCTAAAGCTGAGAGTTCTTCTTCTTGACGGGCCTTTAGGCGTGCCAGCTCCAACTTCACTCTTGCATTCCGGACGGAGAAAGTAGCTGACGCTGAAGAACTCACGTCGCTAACGTCACTGGAATTCCTGCAAACATCTAGATGAGTTTTAAATTTATTAAAACTGCCAGGAGCATTGCTAATCATTGCCTGATGTTGGTCATCCGACCTACCACCGGTTGCCATTATTGAGAACCCGAATTAATGTTTGAAACCCTTTAGTTGAAAACTTGAGAATTTTGATATTAACGTTAATATCATTGAAAACTTCACAAATTATGTTTGGAGACTTGAAATCGTTGGAATTTTGAAGCCCGTTTGAAAACTTTTATGTCACGTCTTTTGATAGCCCGGAATCTATATCGACGAGACACAATGAAAACGTATCGAACGCGCCACTCTCAGCCCCTTTGTCCACAAACAAGACACGTGCATAAATCACTTCTTCATATTCTTGGCAAAGAACAGCGGTTTTCTTAAATAAATAAAACAAAATTGATTAACATAAGTCAAAGCATATAACAACAACAAAAGGCAAATTTCTCACCAAACGTTTTCCGATCCGGGAGGCTAATACAATTACAATATATAACAGCTAAATAAACAGTCCACAATACAGACAAATATCTGCGACTCTTTACACGACGAATACGTGATGCAAATGACCGAAAGGAAAACGCTAAACCAGACAATAGATAATAATACTAATTTACGCTACAAACAAAGGATATTAATGGGTCTACAATGATTGGATGCAAGGCAGAGCACGATGTACTGCATACAGTGGCAAAATATACGACAAACGTACGTTTACAACGTAACAAATGATTTTCAACACTTCCAACATCTGAACGTATGTTTCTTGTCGCTTGTCTCGTAATAGGAAATATACGCTTGGTGGATAGGATGCGCCCTTTTTACAGTGAATTGTATACAACTGGAAGAAAATATCGGGCACCACATCAAATGTACCGTCGCCAAGATATGTGTCACTATCTAGATGTGCAAGTAGTGATCGATCTCCAATGGCCATTATCCGATGACGATCCTCCGGGCCAGTGTCATGCAAAATGATATCTAAATATTCGTGTATATGTAAAGACGCTAATATCCGTAAATGCAAATGCCCATTGGTGTAGATGTTCATGGGTGCAAATGTCTGTGGGTACAATTGTACGCGGGTGTAAAAGTACGCGGGTGTAAATGTATGTAGGTTCAAATGTACGCGGGTTCAAATGTACGTGGGTTCAAATGTCCGTGGGTGCAATTGTGCATGGGTTCAAATGTCCGCGGGTGCAAATGTTCGTGGGTTCAAATGTACATGGGTTCAAATGTCCGCGGGTGCAAATGTACATGGGTTCAAATGTACGCGGGTGCAAACGTACACGGGTTCAAATGTCCGCGGGTGCAAATGTACATGGGTTCAAATGTACGCGGGTGCAAACGTACACGGGTTGAAATGTCCGCGGGTTCAATCTATATGCGGGTGCTAAAATCCATGGGTGGAAATGTATGGGTTCAAATGTTCGTAGGTGCAAATGTCCATGGGTGCAATAGTATACAGGTGCAATTGTCCTGGGTTCAAATTACGGGTTCAGATGTACGGGTTCAAATGTACGTAGGTTCAAATGTGCTGTCACCGTAAAACTAATCACATAGAGCCCTCAGTTTTGAAATAGATAAAAGTCATAGCCAGCTAGCGAAAAATACAATTGTGAACCACTAAAAATTTCAAAGCAATTGATCCTCTAGTCAATGCGAAGTTTTTCATAACGATAAGGTTCAAACTACAAACAAGAACAACAACAACATAATAACAAAACGACATATATGTACATTTCGTGCCCAACAAGAGATGGATGATCAAATATATGGTCACGGCGAAGCAGTGCGAGTATGCAATCTCTCGCAATATACCACCGCAGGCACCGGTTACAGCCGTTACGATATATATCCTACAAACGTTTCCCCGTGAATGAAATTAAAACAGCGGAATTTTAGATTAAATAAAATTTACATGTAGTAGTCCTCTAGCGACAACAACAATCTTAAACCACTGAAATTTTCAAAGCAATTGATCCTGTATAGTTCCGCCAGCATGTAAGTGGCCTGTATGGAATTCGTTTTTTTTGTGTGTGTGTGCGGCGATGTGATCAAAATTAAAAATCGCACTTCTTGTGGTAGTTCCGCTTTTGTGTAAGTTGACATCTGTTAGTTAGCTACGCCGCAGCGGTTCTCCACCTTTCTACCCTGGCGGACCGGTAAAATTAAATAAAATGTATTCGCGGACCGGCAAAAATTGAAAGGAGCGGAACAGAAAATAGGAACATATATTTGCGTAGTATCTGGCACTCACTATGATTAAAAAAAGCACACTTAAAAACATTTTACATGAGGAAAAACTATCAATTAATAGCCGACTGAAAATTGAAATGGGTGGAACATAAAATAATAACATTTATTTGCGTGATAATGCGCAAAAAGGGCACACATCACACATCAAAAAACATGTATATACATGCCAAATCATGTACAAAAACAACTATCTCTAGTGAAAAGTAAAGGTTTCATCGGGTTCATCATATCAATCCCACTGCAGTTAATCGACGATCGGCCAAACAGAATACAATGATAAAGTCGTTGCTAACTTGCCACCAGGCTCAAAATACTGCTGTGTATCACCCGGAAAAGACCTCAACGGCTCATGCCTTTGTTGCGCGTCCCGTGAACACTTGCAGAGTCGCAACAAGTTCAGATCTGGTTGGATGTCAAGGTGAAGCTCTAGAACAGAAGTGTGCAAACTGCGGCCCGCGGGCCAAATGCGGCCCGCAAGCAGAAGTTGTGCGGCCCGCGGAGAAATAACAATTTCGAATGGTGTACCCGCAAAACGAGTATTTATTCTTTTTCGTCGCAAAGCCCATACCAGTCATATTAGCAAAACAAGCTAGCAAAATTCTGCTGCAAAATACACGATTTATATTACAAAAACGTGTTTCTCACTGCATTCGTTTGAAGTCGGGATGACAAAAATTTAAATAGCAGTTTCTTCAGAAGTTTATGCGTTTTAAATCTACTATTTCTGCAAGAACCCCTAATAATGCCGTAGAATCAATAGCAAATATAGGCAATTTTTGTGCTTGCAACTACCAGAATGCCAAAATTAAATGAAGGTGCGGCCCGCGGCTTCACCCAGTTACTTGTATTTGGCCCGCCAATGAAAAAGTTTGCACACCCCTGCTCTATAATATTATACTGTAGTTCTTGACCATTTTCTGGTTTAAACAAAGAAATATTCATAACATTTTATTTGGATGGTAACATTAATCAAGTGACGCATGCAGAACGGAAAAATCACGCATGCTGATTTTCAGTTTTCTGAGCTTGCAAGATTTGACGGAGCTCTTTCGCTATGAATCGGAACCGAATAAGCGAAAAGTGGGATTACTCGGCGCCAAGACGTCGCCGGGCCATTAATACCGCACTTATCAAACAGCAATGTGACGGCGGAAGAGAAATTGCGTTATAAACCAACGTAACTTCGTCTTATTAATCAAGAAAAGCATGCAGAATGGAAAAGGCACGTATGCTGATTGCTGATTTCCAGGTTTCTGAATCTTGCGATATTTGACGGAACGCTTTCACCATGAATCGGAACCGAAAAAGCGAAAAGTGTGATTACTCGGTTTGCAAACAAGTTTTTATACTTTCCAGGTAGAAGTTCATTATGCTGGTAAGAAGACTAGTGACATTTTGCACGCATAAACAGCCTAAATTTCGCGACTCTCTCTTCGATTTTTCTATACACAAGATTTATCGTTTATAACAAACAATTGTAATTTTAAATCAAAACTACCCACATACGCGCACGATATGACTTTCATTTTGACAGATTCTCAAAAGTCTTTCATTTTCTCATGGTGTGTTTAACCTTAATATGATACCCGGTACTTACTCTCGTCTTCGTGTCTACAGTCATTCTTTATTCAAACTATGTTCCTTTTAAGTGGGCATGGCGAACGATTCTTACACAGGTTTAGTTCTCCAAGGTATAGCAACTCGACTGATTTACAAAGTTGAGTAATCCGTAAATTAAAAATAATAGTTCGATCAATGCTTGGAAGTTCATTGATTGAATATATATTGGCTTGTTAATCCCTACTTTTGTTAGCGGCGTTCCACTTGCTCAGTTTGAGAAGAAACACCGAGCATATTAAAAAGGCTACGTTTCCTGATTTTAATTTCCTCGGGGTGTGGGGGGGGGGGGGATCCAATCGACAAACTGCTACCGTTACCTGAATTTACTGTGGCTGTAAGTGTAACTTTAAACTTTGCCATTATAAGTAATAGGGACATTTTAACATCAAGTTTTTAACATGTTAAACCAAAATGCTTGTTAGTGTAGATATACAGAAGAAGTTTTCAACGTTCAGATGAGTGAAGCACAAGGCCGGCTGTACGTGCGTGCCAAGGTGTCAGGTACTTCCAACCTGCAACATACTTAAATTTATCGCTTGCTATGGCCGTCCGTTATTTAACCTGACCAGTCTCGTTGATCACCCTCATCAACGGTTCGGGGCACTTTTGACCGCCAAAACAGTTTTTGAGTTGTCGAACTGTATATCAATATATATCCAAAATATACTAATATCAATATTTCCTTTTACTACATTACGTACAAATAAAGGTACTCCCGTAGTATGTGAACCAAGATGGCGGACACCAAGACGTAGTATGTGTACCAGGTTAGGGTTAGGCCATAATTTCAGATACATATACTGGAGTCATTTGGCTAGTCCCCAAATTCGTGATAGAATTAAAATAAGGGAAAATTGGAATAACATTGTGGCCTATCCCTAACTTGGTACACCTACTACGTTTCGGTGTCCGCCATCTTGGTGCACATACTACGGGAGCGTCCAAATAAGAATATTCATTTAATTTTCTTATGGCCAGACAGACTTTTTAATTAATAATTGGCAGTGGGAAATTACCTGTCTTTTTGTGCTAACGATGTTAATATGTGATTCAATTGCATAAAGTTAATTGCATTGCGTTTGATGGCTTATATAAAACGACTGCAACTTTGCATGATGTGTCGTTGTAGACCTATGGTTGTTGACTTTCCGGGAAATTCCCGTGTAACCAATTTTCTGCACCGTAGTGTTTGAAGAAACTTTTTTTTGTTGAGTAGATTTGAGTAACTGGATCGATTTTCTAAATTTTGGTTGTTGCTCGTTATTTATATATTCCGCCCGCTTCTTTGCAAACTCGGTGTTCAGCTCAGGCTTAACAGTACCGGTGCATGATCTATATTTGAGCATTGCTATCTTCTTTTAGGAAGGATATTGTTGCTTAGTGCTTTACTTCAGTTCGTCGAAACCAATGCGGTTTTCAGCTGTAACCAGATAGCATTTCAGTAGTGTTTATTGCACGTAAAACGATTTGCGAAGGAAATCAATAAAGCACATAAAATCCTCCATTACTGGTAAATTAATGATATGAACCCCGAATATTTCAAATTATTGGTAAACACGTAATGAAAAATTGCAAAACGAAGTAAATAAAATAATTTTTCTTTCCACAAAACTCCTCACGCCACTTGATGGCAAAACACTGGTCTTCAATCTAACTCTAATCAAACAATAACGTCCGCTGTATTTCATAACACGATAAGTAAATATCTAGGCCCTAATACAGCTTACGTTCATATTCAGCATAGCCATATCCTTGCTCTAGCTCGTAACAAACTCTATTATTTCAGTTGAAGCGAATCGGCGACGACCTGAACAAATATTGTAATATCTGACCGAACAAAAGCGACGAGAGAATGGGTGTGCGCGTGTTACTGGAATAACTCGAGCTTTCTCACGATTTCTGCCGACGGTATATATATAGCAGCCTTAGGAATGGCAGTTCTGTCGATTTGAAGATGGGTTCATCGCCTTCAAAACGAAAATCAGGTAAAGTCTATGATATTTGCAAGTTTTGTAATGAAATTTACATAACAAGAAATCAGATAGTTGTAGACTAGCCATGTCAAACATGACGACGGGAGTATTCTTTGTCGCAAAGAGGGGTTCAAATTCAGGTTGTTTTGTATTGGGCAGAGCGAGGTAATCATATAAGTATGGCGTACGGACCGCAACTCAATTGGGTCTTCATTAGTTTTCTTCCGAGTCGCTGCATGCCTAACTAAACGCGAAAAACCCGATAAGTGTTGTCTACTTCATAGGTTCTCAAAGTGCTCCGTACGGAGCCCCAGGGCTCCGCGAGAGAAGCCTAGGGGCTCCGCGAGCTATTTCATTAGTTTTCAAAAGACTGACTTGGCTAATTTTGTAACTGTCCAAAGAAGCAATAACAGCTTTAATAAAATTTGGCAACAGTATAGCCTCGAAATATGACAAAGTGGCGGAATTCGAGATTTACATTATTTATAAGCAGGAGCGCAGCCAGAATTCTTAAGGGAGAGGGGGGATTCAAAATTGAAATCGGAAATTTCCGCGCAACATTATTCGCGATTAAGTAAAAAAACTTTTTTAGAGGATAACGAGATTTCTGTTGCGTAAAATATTCAATCCGTGACTGATGCAACATTTAAAATGTCTTGTCATAATAATTTAATTGTGCTCATCGTTACTCACGTTTGATTCGAGATTACTACGAGGATTACTTAAATTGAAAGATTACTATTCTGAAATAGCATAAAATACGTGATAAGTTGCCAACTATAAATAAATTAGAATCGTATTTTCGCGATCTTGGGATTTGTCAAACTTGATTTGTTCCTTCGCACTCGAGATTATTTTTAATCAAGATATCGCCGTTCCAAAAATCCCGAGGTCGACGTTAAAACTCAATAAGTACAATATACAATTGTGCAATCCATGACCGATGCGGGCATATTTAAAATGACTTGTTTATTGGGATAATTGTGTTCAATGTAACCTGCGGTTGTGTCGACTTACAATAGAAAATCATTACTTCTCAAATAACCACGGCAATCCGCGGACATGAAATGAGAAACAAAGTTAAGTGAACGAAGTTCTTGTGGACTACTGTATATCCTGAACAACGCTGTTATCATAAGATATTAGGAACAGAGTCATTTTGCCGACAAAAGAACATAATACCTTCTACCGGTGCCAGAAGTTTGATAAGATATTTGTGCCCGTCCCGATCAAATCGTAATCATGACTGATTGATTGCGTGGCAGTGTGGCGGATTATAGCGATTTAGTGAATTCGACAAATTTGAGCCCTTCTTGCAGCACTGACTCCACCCAATCGCAGGTCTCCCACTCAGATTCTTTGCAAGATATCACCCGATCATCGTTTAAAAATTCACAAGGTCTTGGCAAAATACAAACGATTGAAATTTATTCTATCGCGTGCTGCTCCTTTGGTAGTTTCAGAATGGGTTTCGATTTCAGTTACTACGATAAATAACCAAAGAAAACCTAAGATAACATCAAATATATATTGTCATTTGCAATGTCTAAAAAAGCGTTTTGAATCTGTCGTGAGTCTGCTGAAACAATGTTTATAGTGTTATCTTCGGTTTTAAGTTTTAGTTTTAATATTTCATAATGCCGCTTTTCAATCAAGAAATTTGAGTTGCGGATTTACCGCCGATTCGTTAATAATTATATTTACTAAATACGAGATGCTAAATATTATTTAGCATCTCGTCGCCGATGACTATAATATATTAACATGTTTTTCACATCGATTTCATAATTGCCCACGAGAACAAAAAAGCAATTATCGTCGTCATTGTGGAACAATACATGTATATGCCTGAGGAAATTTTTGATTTAGGGAGAATAAACACCGACGTAAAGATGTTTAATAAGGTATAACGTTTCTCGCTGACGAAAACAGTCGGCGATTGTACCAAAATGCGATCGCGCAGCAACCTTTTAAGTCTTCCAAAAATATCAAAAGGAAAAAGATTCGACCCCTAATTTATTAATATGTTTGTCAAGTGTCAAATTATATATGCCTTAATATATATGATTTATCTTTGAAATTTAGATTTATTTATGACTTGGTATTAACCCTATTAAAAAAGGTTTAGCATTTAAATCAAGTAAAGTACTTTTAACTTACTCAGTAGTATTAATCGTTAAGTAACAATTTTAAAATTTATTTTAGGGCTCCTTGAATAATAGTCAACATCTTCACGGGCTCCGCAACACCAAAAGTTTGAGAACCCCTGGTCTACTTCATAAAACGCACTTTGCGTATACATGCAATGTGGATTGAAATAACATTAGATTACAAAAATCTAAACATATAGTGCGTACCGGGCGGCCTATTTCCAACTATGGATGTTTACTGGTCTGATTCTAAAACTTTCATATCCCATTCACATATTTCAGTTATTGCAAATCTCTTTTTTCGTAACAGGAGCAATTCCAAATGAGAATAATTTGGAATCGGCGAAAATTATAGATTCTGTCGCAACTGCAAATCCTACATTCAAAAGAAATGCCTTCGATCATACAGTTAAAGAAAGAGTGGGAACCCCAGCAATATCACCTGAATTTCAAAAAATGATCGACAATGTTGTCGTAAGTGGTCCAAATGTTTATCAGTCGACCAAATAAAACTAAACGATAAAATCGAATTCTATCTCAAAATAATTGTCAGTTTTGTTAGACTTCGTAAGATATAATTATTAAGCTTCTACCGGTTGTAAAATTTGTTGATATAGATGGAAATTGTAACTACGGAATCCTTACCCAAAATAGTGGAGATTTAGCATTCAAAAAGTAGTTGGCTTTAGAAAGCAACAATTTGTCCTAATATTCAATTTTACAGGAATCTCAAGACAACGTGAAATTCATTAATTTCTGTTATGATGTTTGTTTCTATAACATTCAAAATATATATACATTAACATATAGTTGTAAAATAAATCATGTAAAATTTTTTCAATTCTTATTTTCAGACAATTATGAGTGCTTTAAATAAAGTTGAAGATTTTGGAGAAAACGACATATTTTCTCAACTGAATGAACTGATTAAGGTAATTGGAACTGAAAAATATTACGGAAAGTAAAGTAACTACTTCTTTAAAATGCATAATTTGAGTTTTAATCTATATAGAAAATTATATTTATTGTTATAACAGTCGTGAAGATTTACTATAATAATGTATTATTGATTTTCAGATTTACTACCTTTTATCTAAAGATCGTATGGAAGAATTGAAGAAAATATGTGAATTGATGATTGAAAAGGGATTGCTCAGTATATTCGTCAGAATGTGGGATGAATTTCATGTGGATCCAGAAGAATTTTACGCAGATTTAAACTGTTCTAAATTTAATAACTTGAACAGGGTATTTAATAATTTTTATGTTTACATCGTATCTATATCATATCTATTAGTTGATTATTTTCATATGTTCAAAATAAATTTTTCTCGCAAACTGATTAATCGATCATCTGAAAATATATAGCAGTACTAATTTAGCCAGATGTACTTAAAACACTGCATTCGGAAATTTTTGCACTTATTAATTTCAAAATTTCATCAAATGTATGTGAACAGTCAATTTACAGATAGTTAATGAATACTTTGTATGCTCGAAGATGGAATTTTTTATATGTTAATGCTGAGCTGCCATTCATTTATTTTAAGATCAAAGTAATATTCTGGAATTATTCGGACAAATGTGTAGAACTTGGCAAAGCTTGTCATAAAGATGGAAAAGTGATTGAAAGATTGATGAAAGAATATACAATTCCTCAACTAAGCGTTGAAAATTTGAAACAACCTAGGCTTAGACACATGATGAAAGTAAATAAATTTTTTTTAATGAAATTATTGTAGACCCGTTTTGGAATGTGAGCACACCAAATATATATGTATTCGAATCATTGCTGTTACTTATTACTATAGAAAAAAAACCATCCCTCAACGTGAACAAGAATAACTTTTGACAAAGAAATCGCTAAAGAACAAAACGACCAAATAAAAAAAGTAATCCCTTCTCCCTATTTTTTGTATGCATACATATTATGTATATTCACAGGCTAATCTTGGAATACTACACAACGTTGTTCGGCTCTACAGTAAAAATCGAGATCTTATCCGGAAAGATGACGGAATAGATAAAATATTAGCTTATGAAAAATCTACTTATCTCATAATAAAGGCGAAAATATTCATTGTACTTGCGTATTGTATAAACGAAGAGGAAAATAGCAAACTTATGACTGGTAATTTTTGGAATATACTTTAGACATAAACGTTTTCACGAATAAGTTTTATGAATGAGTCCCAGACCATGGTATTGTAATCATAAGAAGATGAGAAGTTTGATATTCTTTAACCATGCAGTGCATGAAGAAATATATTTAATAAAAGATTTACAAGTAAAGTAGCCAGCAGGCTTGGACAATTAGCTTCGCTAATACGTGCCCAAATGTTGTGTATGAGAATATTGAGAAAATAAGTTGCCGAACTTGTTTTGTTATGTTTATAGGAAGATCGGTGATATCCTTCATCAAAGATCTCCTGAAATCAGCTCTGGAGTCTCCAAATCATGTTGCGAGAACATATGCATTCTCAGCAGAAGAAACAGTTGCAGCCATTAATAAACTTGCTTCAAATGATGATAACAAGGTGAGGAATGATCTATATATTAAAGTTAGGCTTGCTCGGGAGAACAAAAGACAAAAAGCTCTTTAAAGGAACCAAGATACATATACGATCGTGATGAAGAAAGTTCTAAATGACTTACAAATACGATCGTGGTAAAGAATGTACAAAGTGGCATGCAAAGAAATCAGTCATCAAAAAATATCTAGTGTTATACTTCAGAATCGTAACGAGTTGCAAGAATACCTAAAATCACCCTGACCCATTAATACTGGCCAATGTCAGATTTGAAACATCAAGCGAATGAAGGCATGTTTGATTCTTTTTTGGCAGAAAACGATTGTGGATGCCGGTATATTGCCTCATCTAACAGAACTATTGGATGCTAAAACTGCCTCTGAAGAAGAACATCTTGAAGCAGTTAATTGTATCTGGGCTTTGGCGTTCCACCCAGAAAACAAAGAAAAGATCATAGAGGTATTTTGTATTAAACATACGTTTTTTTGAAACGAATGAAATGAATTTCGAGTTCCATCTCTTCTGTGGTAAATATACCGGTAGGCTAGAGCTTAGCCACTAATGGAAATAACAATAAGCTTCTGATATAAGCAAATCTTACGCCTGCCTATGTGTTCATTTGAAGGCGACAAAAATTAAACCTTTTTTAATTTTCAAATATTAGAAGATGGTTTGAATAAATTATTATAGATAGTATAAAAATACGTGAAAGTATGAAAATGTTAGATTTAAAAAACATATGGTACTAATTATCATCAAAATAATATAGAAATAACTCATTTTCCAACATATATATCGTTATACTCAAAATTGATTATCAAGATACAAATTTGACCGTTTTACTTTCTAGGAAGACGGACTTATAGACAGTATCAAATCACTGAGATCAAGGGCAGAATGTAGCGCTAAATTAAACAAGGCCTGCTCTAGCGCCTTGTTTGTTTTGAACCTAGAAGAGCCGTTGGAAGAACTTGACGTGAGCGGGAAAAATAAACAGAACGTCAAGAAACATTTAATGCTAAGTTACAATTGGGAAGTTCAGCAGACCATTTTGCAGGTTGTCGATCTTTTCAAACTTTTACAAAATAGAAAGTACTGCGGGCAAGAAATCTGTGGATAATTTTTACATTCAAGCATTGTGGTTATTGTCCTAACCTAAAAATTCAGAAGATCCGCTAATTTTTAAAGTATCGTTGATTATGCTGTCCAAATAAATTTCTGTAACGTTTCGTTGGACCAAGGTCAGACTTCCTCAGACAAACATTAGTTGAATAATATAACGCTATAGACGCAAACGTATATATGTGTTAGTGTGCAGCAAGATTCCTAATTCACCTAGGATAGTTATCTTCCCTCTTGCTGCAGCAATCGATAGCACAAACAATATCTTAGTTCGTTTTTTACTTTTCCAATAGCTTCGTGATTTCCTAAAACAAAGTGGATATGAAGTGTGGATGGATGTCGATAAAATGCAAGATTCGATACTGTCTGCTATGGCTGACGCAGTAGAAAACGCTGCTCTCATTATAGTAGCAATGTCTGATGCTTACAAAAATAGCAACTCATGTCGAACAGGTAAAATTATAGACGAGCTCGAAAAAATATATCGCTTACATAATATATAGTATACTATAACAATACTGCTATAGACAGTAAAATGGTTTATACGATTAATATTTATAACTTCATTTTTAATTCATCAACACAACCCAAAAACTTTTTGCCGGAATTCTTTTGCGCCGCAATAAAACTTTAAGTCACACAATCACTGTTGTGCAAGATAATCATGTCGCAAACTCTTTTTTACGTCATACAGAAGCTGAATACGCATATAAACGACAGGTGCAAATTTTACCTTTACTTTTGCAACCTGGTTACGTTGCTGATGGATGGCTCGGTGCGATGGTCGGAACAAAATTATACGTCGATGTTTCAAACGAGGCGATCGAAAATAAATATGGAGATATAATGCAACAGATCAAGAGTTTAACATATTCACAGTCGTCTAACACTGAGCGAAGTCTTGTTCCAGCCACCAGCAAAGGTTGAACTATTTTCCTTGAAAATCCGAATAAAACCTAAGTTTAATTTTATCATATCCCAGTAAAACTTTTAATATAGGTAGGCAGACACTCATTGATAACAAAATTTGAATGCTAACAACTATTTACTTGTTAACATGGATACTGGTATAAGCCACACACTATTTGGAAATATAACAAGTGAAGAATATAAAATATCGACGTGATTTTTTATTTGGTGATCATTTGGTCGATTGCCATCTGCAAAATCATATGTTTATTTATGCACACAATCAACCATTGTGTTTGCTTAGTGCTTGCTATAGACATTTTCACGTTGGCTTAACTCATTCCCCTCATGCAATATCACCATAATTCTTCCTCAACAATAACTTAGGTACTCTAATGTTTAAATATGACTTTAGATACTGCTAAGACAATTCGGCCTGTAACTGCTTATCCAACAACAGTGAGTAGAACGACGAGTGTGGATGGAGGAGGAATATCTCTAGCGAAAGCAAACATTACTTGCAGAAAATGGACAGTTGAAGAAGTGACAGAATGGATAAAAACTACAGGACTCAAAGGTAGGCAGTACAAATCGTGAAGTTTTAACAAAAAATAGAAGTAATAATTGAGATATATAACGAGAAAGAAATTACACATTTTATCCCATAGATCAGTGTTTCCCAACCCGAGTCCGCGGTCTCAAATGAGTCCGCGGAGGGTTTGAATGAGTCCGCAGCGAGCCAGAAATTCGCTGCGGACTGCAAACGTTTCTGCGAAACTTAGCTATCAGCCAAGTTACGATTTAAGTTAGAATTTACATAAAACATAAAATAGACAATAGACAATAAATTTATTTCGTCGTGCAAGAAATCACAACACAAATTCAAAATAGGAAAAAGTAATTATGCGTTACAGTAACGGATTTCATTGCAATTAACTGGAAGTCGCGAAGGACCAGAGATGGTCATAATAAGTCTGCGACACCAAGATTAAAAACGAGTTAATAAAAAGGCTAGTTTATTCACATAACAATATTCGATACAATAATTACTGGTTAATGAGTAGGACTGGACATATATTCGAATACTCAACTATCAGAATAGCAATTTACTATTCGAAAATTTGGTAACAGGTGACGCGTCGCCTGATCAAACGATTGGATTTCCCAACTCACTTGCGAATTTCCGACGAAAACACGAGTCTGCGCACGCTTCGATAGATACCTTAGTGGTGTTTCTCGCGAGTTCGAACAACGAGGAATAAATTTTTTTTTGTAGGTGTCAATGGTGGCAATTCAAACTTTTTAAATTGAAAAGCGGCAATACAAAATACTGAAAATAAAACAGAGAACACCATAAGGTTTGTTTTATTATGGTCCGCAACGGATTAAAAACGCTTTTTTAGACATTGTAAATCGCAAAATTTCGGGTGCTACGTAGTGGTGGGATTCAAATTTTTTGTCAGCCGGTTCCATCACAAAAGTCATGTTTTTCGGCCGGTTCTGTTACATGTTTCTTTTAGTAAGGCTTACCGGTTCGCTGATCTCATAAAATTCCGTGAGACGGTTGTATAGAACCGGTGCGAATCGGCTGAATCCCATTACTGCTGCTACCGTAGTACACGTACCAGGGCATTTTTCCTTAGGATTCCTTGCTTTACTGACTCCACATTGGTACGTACAGTACTGGAGCGCCATAAGTGTTGTACGAACAGCTCAGATTTGTCGAATTCACAAAAATACGAATCAAAACAAATCGGGCACTACCACGCGTTGCTTTTAATACACAACTGCAGATTAAAATCACCACAATTAAATTAATAGTGAAGCAAGGCGATGAATTTTTATTTTTGATTTACTAATATACTTTAAATATATTTTTAATAAGTGCTAAATCAAGTTGTACTTTCTGGAACTTTATAGCAGATAGTAGAATTTTCTAACAGCGATAGCAAATTCGCAAGATCGCAAAACATATGTATCAAAACTAAATATAATCGGGCAATATCATTCTCGCATTATTATGTTTGCAGATTGCCGTGGCATTTTAAAGAAGTAATGCTTTCATCTTGTCGTAAGTCGACGCAACCGTGGGTTACCATGAACACAATTAAATTAAAATAAAAAGATATTTTATATTCTCGTCGTTGTCATGGATTGAATATTGTGCGACGGAAACGGCCATTATACAATAAAAAAGTCGGCTCTTTTAACGAGCACGTAATTGCTTTAATTGCTTCTTCGCGCAGAGTACGGTTGCAATAAATGCACCTTGAGTTCTCGAGGTTTTCGCCGGTGAGAAAATAGTCCGCGACCAAAAAAGGTTGGGAAACGCTGCCATAGATTATCAAATTCTTAAACGGTGCTGAACATACATCGCGGTAAGCATGCAATGTCGTCTGTAATGGATGATAACCAAATCGTGCTAATATGTTTTGCTGTTGATACCCGCATACTGTTGGGTAATCATCACTAATCTAAAATACAGTTACAAGCTGTAATTGGAGAAAAGGTGCACTGCAGTGTTTACTTCTAAGTGACTGTCTCCACGATTGTCCAGATTTTTCTATTTTTTGAGACAAGCCGCATTAGCGATTCCTTCATCGCAGCAATTTTCTTAATTCTAGCGTAATGTTCGATTATTCGATTACAGAAAATGGTTATCTTCAAGACTGTGACGGTATCGCACTCTCACAATTATGTAAATTACTTCTTCGTTGCCCTGAGACTTATTATTCGTTGCTGAGAGAAGAACTTCATTTGAATTTTAAGGAGATGTTGCTGTTTACCGATGCAGTTGAAGAATTATTATTTTCATGAAAATTCCTGATTCTTGATAATGGATTTTTGCGCTTAATTTGTTTTATTTTTGTTTAGTTGATTTGTAAAAATGGTACATCTGACAAAAGCATATTTTTATATTTAATCTTACAGTATTTTTACAATATTTCAAAAAATCGTATATATATTTTTAGAGTACAGAAAACCTTTTTTATACCTTATTTTTGAGTCTATTTAAAGCAACAATACAAAAGACCATATAACGTGTTTTTGCCTGGAATATTATAATTTAATAATATATATACTACGGAAAAAAATTGGGATCAATATGAATATAATTGTCTTCATTACAGAGGTGTAAATTTTCAATGTGATTCATATTGAAATAAAGACCATAGTCCCATATATTATTAAGATTCTAAGGTTTGCACTTTTGTTTTTCTCCTTTTCCTACTTTGCCAAAATCGAACAGATCCAAACGACATCATGAACAGAACAAAATCCAGTAGTTCAGCACATGACATTACACTGGCACCCAACATGAGTCCAAGAGCACCTCCGATGTCACAGAAAAGTTTATCTAATGAATACGATTCTTCCTGTATTGTAGTCCGGTACCACAAATATGGAAAATATACACGAAAATAGATTCCGCTCTTCCTGGAAATGATTGAAATTAAAAATAAACTTTGTACAATGCTATGATCATCAAGTTGATTATCACAATTAATCATGAAATGCATATAGCCTTTTTCAGTTGAGAACATTTCTATAGTTGATAAGTAATATTAACGACAAAATACAAACACTTCACATTTTAAAGCCCAATCGCATCTTTCAGATCTGGGGCAGATATTTTGCTATGAGAGCTAGTAAAATTGCGGGTTCTATTGCAATTTGCCTTGTTAGTATTCCTACAATTTCATAGTATAAATATTACTTACAAAATATCGAATCCCGGTACGTATTTAGCCATCAGTATCCTGGTTCCTTCAGTTACTCTTGAAGACGTCATTGTAATATCATAAATCGTTCTGTTACAATCCGGAGGACAATTGCACTCTTGAAGGATAAATGGATTTGCGGATTCTAAATTCAATGTCAAGTTAGTAACGTCTATTTAGTAGATGCATCCTGGGTTCAGTTTACGAGTGCAAATTAGGCTACGTGCATAATAAGAGAATGCAAAAATAAGAGAACCATTAGATTTATTTTTCTGTACTTGACTTAAAAAGCATTCAAGTAATCCGGTGATTGTTTATTGCCCCCCAAATTGTATTTATACAAACTATCAAAATTGGCTTATTGGCCCAATTATTTTATCATATTTGAAGAATAACTAGTCTTTTATGCGTCCTGCCTAATTCTCTAAAATGCTGAAAGTAGATTAGTGTCGCACCAAAGTTTGTCTATTCCTAAAAAAAAATAGTCTGTGAAATCGTTTTTTGTTTATAATCATTCATATGTTCATGTGACAACAAATTATTCAGGATTGTATAGGCCGCGTTTGCTGGAGGCTTTTCTCGGAAACGCATTTTCTCAAAATCTTCCTACCTCTATAAATGTAGGATTAGCTCCAATATTGATATTTAACCTGTATTAAACTTACTTAGCTATTTATAGTTGTGATAGTATAAACACATAAAAATCAGTTTACCATTCGAAATATGCTGAATCTTGCATTGGTCAAGTTGAAATTTGTTGCAGGTTTTCACTGAAGGGAAATCCAGAGCGTATTCTGCCACACAATGGCAATTCTCCATCATATAATCCATTTCGCATTCAACCAAACAAGCTGTTTGAGTGTATTTCGGATAATATTTAAGTTCACGAAAACCGCATTGCCCATGAGGTGGTTCCTGATTAAGAAACATTTCTGTTTTAGCTTTTGAGTTTAAGCGGGAGTTTGTGAGAAGCTAAAGTCGAAGCCAATTACAGAAGCTAAACCCAGACAAGGATAATTAAATATCAGCATTTTGTGCTACGAACAGAATAAATTTTATGACAACGAAGACAGCGAGGAACTTTTTAATGAGAACAGAAGTGGACAGACAGACAAACATATACAAAAGATAGGAAGTATTGTATAATTCTTGGTTGGTTCACAATTTAAAACTTTATGTCTTTTTGAGGACAAAGGTTTCGATAATATCAGTGGGAATCAAAATAATCCTAGTTTCGCGTAGCGTCGCTTCAAATCGGAAACAGCCGTCACGCTTGACGGATTAAAACCGTGTTCTCTTAAAAAATAAATAATTTGGATAAAATATCACAAAAAAAAGGAAATTAAGGAATTAATAAAAGTAATAGTCTTCTAGTGACAACAACAATCAACAACTTCAAACACTGAAAATTTCGAAGCAATTGATCCAGTTATTGAGAAAGCGATTTTTCTACAAAAAGAATAAGAAGAAAAAGAATAGTAACAACATGATCCTCGCAACACTATGGCAAAACGATCCATAGGTCCTTTTCGTGTCCAATAAATGTTTTATCAGTATTACCATTCTTTGTTCAATGAGTTTATTTATCATCAGGTTCACAGTTGCGCCAACCGGTACATAAATCCCTCTGTTTTCCAATAATACTACATCATCTGATGGATCGTGAACCAATACAGAAAATCCCTCTAATGTCATGAAAGGTCCATGAGTCCAATCCTTTACGTCTGACATAAATCCAACTTCAAGGCCACCATCCACACCTGTTAATTGATAAGATAACTGTGACAATTTGATCATTTCGGACAGCGTCACGTGCTAATGTTTAATAGATGAATGTGGAATGAAATCTTGAATCAGTAATGATTGAGGACCGTTGTTACTGGTTGCCCTATCCATAAAAATATGCCCCTGACCACCTTTTCAAATAGCATGTACAAGATTGGCCAAATATGAATCATGATAACATTATCTTTTACTAATGACCGAACGATTTTAATATGTCCTGTTAACTTGATATGATATAACATTGCCTTAAATATAGACTCATTCCTGAGGAACCTACCTCTTAAAGTTTGGTATTTTTCTTCTTCGTCTTTTGATGGATCAAACGTCAAACAGACGCCAATATCTCTAAGTTTTGTATGAAGTACCTTTGTTCTGTTACACAGTTTCCCACGATAAGAACAACTGAAATTAAAATGTATGGGAAATGTCTCCTCATAATCATCCTATTGTTCATTTTCTTTTAGGTCTGGTGCGTGGCTTTTGTAATCCACACAAAGACTTCTGGAAATTCACACCTGGAGCAATAGCACTGAGTATATTATGATAACAGGTTATTGAAACTGTCACAGAAAAATATACTTTTAACAAAATCAAACTTAATAAAAAATTGATGTTATAACACTTTTTTGAAATACTAGTCAAAATATACATTGAATCATGTCTTACACTCCCATGTACGTAAGGTAATTATATGATTTGTTGTGAAAAAATTGTCTAATATTGATATTATCATATTCCGAAGCATTGATTTTGTCCGGCCCAAAATCAGGAAAAGGTCGATACATAATTTCCAACATCTTTGATTCAGCAGGAGATAATTTTTTCTTCCTGTTCAACAAAAAATAAAACAAATGCTATTTTATATGCAAGAAACGGTATTTTCTTTTACAAACAAAAGATATATACATTTGTTTGGTTGAATATTGACTGAGCGACGATGGTGAACATGCCCATTTAGAATAATTTCCAGTTTTTGCATTATTTCATCACAAAGTTGTTATTTCAAAAAACTTCGAATTTTCATTTACAAATTTATATTAATTGTCTTACTGGAACACATTGAAGTTGCACATTGTCACCGCGGGAAAGGATATTTTCTTTACAAAAAATTCTTCAGTTTTTGTTGTTGAAGGATACGATAGGAAATTGTTTACATTGTTGACAGTCATAAATATAGCATATGCAGAAGCCCCGAGAACCATCAAAACCCAAAGCAACCTGAAATATAAATCAATGTTTCGAGTATTGTTATTTGACAACAGATAATATAATCAGCTTATTTAGCTGTTGATTATGGACACACGGCAAACTGAAATAAAAATATTTATCATAAATAAATACCTCCTATGCCAAGTATGATCATTCATAAATATGTAACGAATTCCTTGAACGCCAACTCCCTCGATAAAGGCTTTTGTGTACAAAGACGAAGATACATTTTGTAAATTTGAACTGCATTTGTTCTGTCTTTCCTTATCTCCGATAATTTCCAATTGTGAAGTCTTTTCTATTTTCCATCCGGGCAGTCTTGAATCAAAATTAATTTTTTCAAAATTCATGTTTTTCTATTATCCCATAATTCCGGAAATTTATTGTAAGAATGGAAGTTATGTTTATGATTCGACAAACTATTTCAAAATATTCAAACCATATCTAAGCTCAAAGTCTAAACTCATTAAAGAACTTCGGATGTTACAATTATGAACTTTTTTATCGACAAATATCACCACGCATCCTCTTCGTCGACTACTCTAAAACGACACTTCTGATAAAATCAGTTTGAATATTTTGGAAAACGTACATATTGTCACAATTATTCCTTCGTGGGTCGTTCTTCTTTATCGTCACAATAGCCCACGCACTTTTCTATTAAATAAGATAAAGGATCAAAAGCATGAAATATTAATAGGTTTACCGAAAAAAAAAATTTAACACAAGCGCGACACCGGTGGACAGAGAGGAGGGTAGTTACGACTATAATCGCAGCTGGAGATTGTTAAACTCAATATTAATATATAATTGAATCAGAGTTGAATAAATAACTTTCTCGATTTGTAATTACTGATTTCTGATCGACGGTTAAGCTTGCTGCTATATTACACTAGTCACTTGGTGAAACTTAATAAAATAAAATATATCACCGATTTGGTAAAAAGGAGGCCCGGGATAAATACAATCATTCGTGCCAAATGTATTTACTGCTATTATCAAATTTCCATAGGGCAGTAGTAAAAAATGCGATGCCAGTATTTGCTACTATCGATAATATCAATATCAAAATTTCAGACATGTAATGTATTCAGTCAAAGAACGTGAAAGCACAAGACTCATGAAAAAAATGCAATTGAGCTCATCGTTCAAACTTTACTGGTTCGTAGTCGTGCATCAAACATTTAAAATGCATCAGTATGCATCTCCTAGCTTTTAAAGTACGAAGATTTTTTTTTGAAGATAGTTGTTATGAAGAAATGGCATATTCTCAGGGTTGGATTAACCATTAAGCAATATGAGAACGTGCTTTAGGGCACCAAGGGTTAGGGGCACCACCGAAAATTTTATAGACAGATCGTTAATGATGCCTCAGTGTTAAATAAGGTAATTCGAGTAGGTCAGGTAACACAGACCTCAACATTGACCCGGTGGAATAATATATATATATAAACTATAAAAAAAAAAGATGGAAATTGGTCATAACTTGGCTCACGACTCGGTTTTGCATACCCTTGACACGAGAAAAATTCGTGTTCTACTTTACTTTGTTCAAAAACATTTCTTTTGTTAACTATTTGACCCCGTGTATCTCACAGGTTGGGCTGGTCTGTCGCAGCGTTTGCGGGACTAATTTTTGATTATTGCAACTAAACTAAATCTCAGAATGAGTATTGAGTTATTTGATTTGAAACTAGTTCTAGAAATCTCGATCGAAACAGGCAAAATAGGAAGTATTCATCAAAATATATAACAGCAAACAAATTACACATTTCACTTCATAGATTCTCAAATTCTTAAACGGTGCTGAACATACATCGTGGTACGCAGGCAATGTTGTATGTAATGAATGAGAACACAAACATGCAAACTTGTTTTGCTGTTGATACCGCATACTGTCGATAATCATTACCAATCTAAAATACAGTTCAAGCCGAGCCATCTTTAGACTGTAGAAAAGATGCACTGCAAGGTTTTTCAAAGCGATCCATATTTAAATATATATACAACATATTCTCATATTATCAAGTTTCTAAAGTTTGCACTTTTATTTTCCTCTTTTTCCTGCTTTGTCAAAAACGAACAGATCCGAACGACATCATGACCAGAACAAAATCTAGTAGTTCAGCACATGACATTACACTCTCACCAAGCATGAGTCCAAGAGCACCTCCGATGTCACAGAAAAGTTTGTCTAATGAATACGATTCTTCCTGTATTGTTGTCCGATACCACAAGTATGGAAAATAGACACGAAAAAAGATTCCGCTCTTTCTGGAAATAATTAAAATAAATAACTTATATCTCAAAAAACCAACTTCCCGACTACTCTGAAATGACACTCTTGATAAAATAAATTAGTTCGAATATTTTGAGCAACGTATATTGTCACAATTATATCTCCGTGGGTTACTTTTCTTTATTGCCACATTACCCCACGCACTTTTCTATTAAACAAGATAAAGGATCACAAACATGAAATATCGATAAGTTTACCAAAAAAACAATTCAAACACAAGCGCGACAATAGTGGACTGAGAAGATGGTGATTCCAACTGTAATTTGGACACCTAGTGAAACTTGATGAAATATGTCGCCGATTGGTTAAAAAGAATGCCCGGGATAAATGCAATCATTTGTGCCAAATATATTTACTAATATTATGAAATTCCCATGGAGCAAGCACGAGATAAAAAATGTGATGCTAGTTCATCCATGTTTCTGATATCACGATTCAAACGGGCAAGTAACGCACAAAAACAACGAAAACGAAGCAATGTTCACAACGATGCTTCGATATTTGTCTGAGCGGTTCGACAAATTGCAATTGTTTCGCGATTGTCAGCTTATTGCTGATTAACTCCACCAGATAGAGTTGGGCTACTGTATAGAGTAGACGGTTTCTGTTAGAAACAGGATTTATGTATTTATGGCCCCGATCGTCTTTAAATGTGTTCGGTCTCTATAATATATAAATGACCACGCCAATTGCAATTATTCGTTCCAATTGTTCACCTTTTGGAGTTGGTTATCTTGTTATAAGGATGATTGTTCGAAAGAGGAATTTTTTGAGAGGATGTCAGGTACTACACCATACCATTACTGGTATATACGACAGTAATTGGCTGCTGATATCATTCCAGTTTAGAAATGTTTTTCCGAAACATGAATCAGCCATACAACGAGCTTGATCTATAGCAGGGTGGTCCAAACCCAGGCCCGATGGCCACATGTGGCCCGCCGCTTCATTTTCTGTGGCCCACGTCACATTCGGAGAGTAATCAAAAAATCGTATTTTGTGTTGTTTCGTCATAAAATTAATCAGAAAAATCTTTTGACATATTGTCATCACTATTGTCACTGAATTAAATAGTGTTATGGATAGCTGGGGAAACTAGCGAAGTTGAATGATGAGCGTGGCGGTCTAAATTGTTATCTGGCTTTTTAACTTTTTGGTCGGGAATATATGCAAACAATATAGGCATCATAGAAAACTTAAAATCGAATGCGGATTCTATTAGCCTAGAATGGCTATGCCTGATAACTATAAATTTGCAAAATGAAGGTGTTTGTTTTGTATTGCACCGTTTACCTATTCTTGGCACTATTGTGGCCCGCGAACAATGCAAAAATAATTTTGTGGCCCGCGGAGCCGACAACCTTGGACCACCCTGATCTATAGTCTACGCCTGTTAAACTCAACATAGATTATGTAATTTAATCAGCGTTGAATACATATTTACTTTATATTCATATTTACAGATTTCTTGCTGCTGTGTTTTGACATTGAACTAGTCACCTAGTGAAACTTGATAAAATATATCGCCGATTGGTTAAAAAGAAGGCCCGGGATATATGCAATCATTTGTGCCAAATATATTTAATAATATTATAAAATTTCCATAGAGCTCGAGTCAAAAAATGTGATGCCAATCCAGCATGTTCTATAAAATGAATCAAGGTGTTATGCGATATGTCTCAAATCACACTACCGGAAACCCTATATTATATTCTGCGTATCCGCTACACACATCGATAGTATCACGTTCTTCCAGACATGTAGTGTATTCAGTCAAAGAACGTGAAAGCAACAAAGTATAGTAATAAGGGATTCTAGATGACATTCAAACTTTGTTATTTAGTTGTCATGAGTTAAAAATTTAAAATGCGTCAGCACGCATCTCTAGCATTTAAAGTACGATGAATTTTTTTTCTAAAGAGAGTTGTTATGAAATAGCATATTTTAGATATCTCAATTAGCTTTTAAATGCCCTCCTCCAAATAGGGCTGTTCTACCTTATCGGATGGACAGTTAGAAATAGGATTTATATATTTATGGCCTCAGTCGTCTTTGAATATGTTTCATCTTATGATCGCTATTATATATAAATGACTACGCCAATTGCAATGATTCGTTCCAATTATTTACCCTTTAGAGTTGGTTATTTTGGTATAAGGATGATTTTCCGAAAGGAAATTCTTTTGAGAGGATGGCACGTGCCACACAATATCATTATAGCTTTTGAATATTGGATGTCCTATAGTCATAGGTTTCTCTATTTACTCACAATACGCAGAATTACTGTGTTCCAGCATATACTTTGTTAAAATTTCACACTCCAGGTGGGTTTTTTATCCCCAAATTCAACTATGATTAACTCTACGAAGAGATGGTGGATCTTAGCTTTAATCTGCGTCATCGAATTTCAAGATATTTATAGTGAAGGAATATTTGGATTCGTCAATGACGTTGCATCCGCGTATTTTCAGACACAGCCCTCTGTAACCGATATTCTATCCACCTGCTTCTACCTAACACGTGGATTATCAGGATTAGTCATGAGCTTGTTTGCAGAATATGTCAACTTCAGAATGTTATCTAGAATGACAACCATTTTTTTGACTACCGGAAGTGTACTTGTAACATGTGGCGTTTATTCTCGTCTAAACTACCCAATTGTGGTCATTGGCCAGTTTTCTACAGGCTTGGCAGCCACAATAGCAGTACCTTTGGCATTCACTATGTCCAGTAACTGGTTTCCAGAAAATGAACGTACCACGGTATTGACTATTGCGCTATCTACGAAAAGCGTTTCGAGGGCAATTTCAAATATTGTTGTTACAAAAACAATACGTTCAAATCAAACATTAAACGTAACAGAATTCACTAATCAAGACTTGATCATGTCTTTCAAAAATACATTCTCCGTGAACTATGTTTCCTTAAGCATTATATCTTTTGTTTGTTTTATACTCGTACGACTGTTTGTTACAGATTTCCCACAAACAACCGTCATTAAAATGATCGATCAAAAAAAATACGATGTATATCGTGGCTTTTCTAAACTACGGAGTTTATTTAACAAGGACGATTTTTGCATTATATTTTGGGAATATATTTTATTTTTTTCATTGGTGCCAATGATTGATGTGCTTTTCTCTAGTATCGTACTGAGCGTTTTCCCTCAGCAAAATGATGACACCGTCGGCA